AAAAAAAAAAAAAAAAAAAAGAAAAGAAAAATATAGAGTAAAAAACTGTACATATATTCAGTATAAAAAGTCGTTTTTTTTCTTCGTATAAAAAAAAGGATTAAAAAACTGTCTCGTAAAAGTGAAAAAAATCACCGAGCAATCGTAATTGAGAGATCGCGACACATGATCAATTCGGACTTTGTAATTGACTAGACTGTGATCTATCTAGATCAGCGTGGCTGAAATGCGACGAAACGGCAGCTTCCACCTCGCGCAATGAGATATTATGAGAATGTTACGTCCTGCATAGAAAAATGTAATAAAAGATACCGATGAACGTTGTTCCACGAGGATGAATAAAAAGCAGGAGAAAGAATAAGGAAAGGAAAAAGAGGGATGAGAGATTAGAAGGGGACTGCGGGAAACGCACTCTTTTCAAAAAGCCCCCGGTTTCGTCTTCTCTCTCTCGACGCAGCATTCGATGAACTTAACTAATTAACATCGATCGTGTTTACATGCACAGCTGGCAGCAACGATATAGCGAGGCTACAATAAATTTATTTATTTTAAATGCAACAGCGATATTGTATGTACTGTGTCAAACATGTTCTTTCTTTTTAGCTCCAGATTTAAAAAATAAGTTTTAATACATAATTAGTTTAATTATATAAATAAATTTAGAATACATAATTTTCTTTTTCTTCTTGCAATATATATATATACCGAGCACTAAAATTGTGAATATTAGTTCATATATGTGCAATTTGAGATTCAAGATGCTTTTGCAATTTATGTAATCTCGCTATATCAATTCCACCAACAACACGTGTGTCATGTGTGTGTAACATACTTATCTATATACAGCGCGGCAATTGTGGACATAAAATCTACAAAACGGTAAGAAGACAGTATGTACAGTCATTGGCAGAATTGTTCCCGAATCGAGTGACTCGAGGCGAATTGTCGAGAGCGGATACGTGTCGTTATCGCGGCCTCCTTGACATCTTTTCTCTGCTCATTATACCCTCGTTTCCTATACTCTTTTCTCTGATCTGGACTCTCGCTTTCGCAGTCCGCCTCGTCCCTCGTAACTCGCATTGTTTACCGACACGCGGTCGACATATTACGAGTCGTGTACAGTGAGTCACGAACGTGTAATATTTAGACGCTTGCAGACGTAAAGCATAATGCATACACCGATCGCACAAGTTACACTGGAACTTTTAAGATGTAGTTCTAACAAGCTACGTAGTTTGGATGAATTTCATGAGCTGCTTAAACCACTGAACAACCCTCTACCACGCTCAACATTTGGTACCTTTGCTACAACACCTTTAGGATTTTACAAAGTTACATTAATATTCAAGCTTTGGCACGGTATTGTATTTGTTAACAATTGCGAAATTTTATATTAAATGAACGAAGTATCAATGTTATTAAATATCAAGAACAATATTCTAAAAGCTTCAGTATAACCGTCCAGCATTTCGTTTCGTTGTATCTGGCTGCAAAACGTATAAGCATATTTTTGCCGCTCACTGCAGTTCGCTCCGTATTTAGCTGAAGACAAGGTGGTTCTACGCGCTAGAGCATTGGTATACAATGAGATATACCTACACATCGTGGAGGTTTTTTACTTCGAATATAAATAAGACTTTCGCGTTACACGCGAATGTTCGAGCATTAATAGAAAGGTAGGAAAACAGGAGGGAATTAAAAATATGGAAGAGAAGGAAACAGTTGAAAAACGGATGAAAGAATGGTCGTCGAGTGGCCTAATATCTCGCGTATATTACTCTATTTCATTTTCGTGCTCGGACACACAATTATCCAAACACTCGATCTCATTCACGCGGAAACTTACACACTTCTATCGTCATTCTCTCGCATTCTCTCCCTTTCGCATCAGCAAAAATCGCAAATTATTAACATATTGAGTTTCAGCCTAAGATCAGCACGCTGCGAATACGTGTAGCTGTTTTCACAATGTCGAATTAAAATATTCATCGTTGCGAACGGTAGTATCATAATAGACTAAAAAAGATCCCTTTCGAAAGGTTCAATTTAATTTCGCTCTTCCTACGATTACGTAAATTGTAGTATAATAGGAGCACTATTACGCGTATAATATATACTCTTGTCGAGCCCAATTCCCATTACATTCTTAGATATTCATGGAAATTGGTGTAATTCTTTTTTATCGTCGATCCTCAACATGTTAACATTTACATAAATAATGGTGCACCTGAGAGCCAGACTAGTATGATAAGCCACGTAACTGCAACTTCACAGACATCTTGTACTACTCGCTGTCGTAGCGTTAATACTGAAACGATTCCAGTTTTATGGCAAACACATTTCTGTTTTACTTCGAGATTCTTTCTACAGGATGTTCCATTTGCTCGGATGATTTTGAATAACTCTGGTGGTGTTTGTATAATATAAAAGCATACGCCAGGGGATAAGAGTTGTTCATTTTAAAATAGTCACATACTTTTTTGCGTGAAAGACATTCAAGATTGCTCGGAGCTATTTGAGATTACTCAAAGTAATCTTACTAAATTTGCTTCGGCAATTTGATCCCCTTTCTTCCAATTCATAGCAATGTGAACTTGTAATCTCTAAGTATCACGAGATGGCCAAGTTATTCAAACGCGCATCATCCGGAATATCACAAACATCGTATAGAACTGTTCAATCGTGATCGCCCAAGGTCGATGATTGGCGAAGCGCCGGTGGACTTACGACACTCTGACTGTCAGGTACAGAATGCACTAAAACGTAACGTGTCACACTTCGTAGCCTCTCGCGGCAGTTTTTTCCTCTACTCGGCTCGCACGACTGACTCCCTCCTCACCGGAAGCCAGACTTCGGCCTTCGATTGAATTAATTTAAACGGAGGCAAATACAAAATCAAAGAAACAAGTGTTAGAAAAAGAAAAGAAAAGAAAAGAAAACACGAGATGGTTAGATGCGCGATAGGTCTCTACCCTGATTCCATCGCGACCATGAGAGAACGGGCCGTCGTGTATCGAGGGATCATGGAGAAACTGCCTCGATGCAGAGGGTCGTTAAGCACCTTTCGGTAGGTAGGCCGACCGGAATGCATTTTTTTTTTTCGCTTCTTCTTCTTTTTTCCTCTTTTCTTCTTATCTCTTCTTTCTTTCGTTCGCCGCCTAATTGCACACGTGCTCTTCCCGTGTGTGTCGACACAGCTCACATTTCACATGACAACACCAGACGAATCGACAGTTGCATTTCTCGGTCACGTCCCGGACTCTCGTCTGGTAGCCTCGGCCGCAGCATAGTAACCGACATCCGTCCAAACCGAGGGACGTCCGATTGCATATTCTTCCTCTTGTCCCGGGGATACCGAGCCTGAAATTAGCAACATTTGGAAAAGATATTCCGAGCAAGAAAAGAGGCAATCTTTTCTGTTCATTAGAGAATGAATGAAAGCTTTCGCGAATACTATTGCTACTATGTATTCCAAACGAGACAATAATAAGTATGTACAAGAGAGTATGTACAAATTAAAATGATAACATAATATTTGAAATAAATATGATGGTATGATTTTAATTAATTTATTGCTTTATTTTTGAATGTAATTCAAGGAAATTGTAATATAATATATAATTGTAATTCAAGGAGATTGTAATATAATATAAAAATATGAGAAAAACAAGAATATTTCATTGCTCACGTGATATTTTTCTCACAGTAGTCAGGACTATCTTCAAGGTACACTAGGTCCGTTTTATTAGGTCGTTTGAGATCCGGACGAGCAGGCCTTAATCTCGCTGGTCTTCTTCCTCCACGTTGTGCCAATCGTACTAACGCTGCGCCTTCGTGTAACGCAGCTAAAGCTGCTCCAGCTACCCTGAATGCTGGAAGTCTTCTCCAACATACGCGTACGCTGCACGATCCGGACATACCTGACAATAAAACAATTATATTTCAATAAAATAAAACAGGCTAGGAAAATGAAAAGAACAGAGGTTGCAAGTGTATAGAATAACATAATTAAAAACTATATGAGATATAAGATATGAACCGTATTTGGCGTTTTTAATTTTGAAAAATTGAAAATACCTGTGAAAGAAATCACAAAGAAGTAATCATAGCAATGTTTTTGATTTGCAGGATCATCCAGCAAAGCTATCTGAAGTATTATATATTGTGATGTATGTACCAAGTTTATAAACAATGTTTCAAAACTATCTGAAGTATTATATATTGTGTGTACCAAATTTATAAACAATGTTTCAAAACAAATCCAACGAGATTCTACAATCTTGTAACTGAAAGAACTTTTTTTTATAAGTGAAAAACACACTGTTGAATAAAAATTGATCATTCATTGTTGTTTCAACATGTATCACTTGAGAATTAAATTAACATAAATATTCACCACTATACTTGGTATGACACGCATTTGGTACCTTTTTCTGATCCCAATGTGATCCTCGCCCTTCAAAACCTAACTTCTTTGAATCATCAAAAAGTAAGAAAAGTCCTGAAAAGAAACCGGTAGGAGGAGACACTTCACGAGGTTGGTAAAAACGAGCATTACATTCCACCTTTTCACGGCGCGCTTTGAGGTTGAAACAGGTCTCGGGAGAGATGTTCTTCGACCCATGAATTTGTACACGCATGAACGCAGCAGCGAGGTGTGGAGCGAGGGAAGAAGACAAGGGATTGGTGAGATCCTAAGTCGTTAAAGGGTAAGGAATGAAAAATAAGAGCGTAGATAAAGGGCCATATCTGTAGAACGCGTTAATAGCTCACCATGACACTTGCACACACGTTGCATTCTTGAGCGGACCGCGCGCCTGCCAGCTTCGCTATCGTGCTTCCTCATCAGCTGGCCAGCCAGCCCTTTTGGTCCGTGAAGCACACCCTCCTTCACGGGCTCCTCGCCACTGTCGGACCACTCCCGCGAGAACTTTTCTCCGAAATGGATGTCCTGAATGAGAATGAAAATGTCCTTGAAGTCAGATTCGACTTTACATATGATTGAGACGAGAAGAACCTTTTTTTTTCTTTTTTTTTTTAAATTGGTAAAATGAAGGAAATACTTGTTCAAAAAAAAAGAAAGAAAAAAAAGAGTTTTTAAAATAATTATTTAAAGGAGAAAGAAATCTGTGTTTTAAAATGTATCTGTATTCGTTACAATTTTTAAATCCACTGGCGAAGCGTTTTGTTTAAATGTACTGCTACATGCATTTAAACAAAATATACTCGTTATAGTACATAGTGGTAGTACTTCGATCACCGATATCTACAAACATATCTGTTCGTTAATCTTTGCCTAACTAACTCGATACTTCGAGCACCACTCGAATCGCTATCGGCCTCGTAACGTATCTTCTTCTCAATACTAACGACAAACTCGCGGAAGAAAAGAAACAATAATCTCAGGAACTACAAACGCATGCTTCCGCGTAACTTTCGTGAAAATTATTTTCACTTGATACGTAAGAAAGGTGATAATTAACAGCCAAAGGTTCCACTGAGAGATTAAAGAAGAAAAAAAAAAAAAGAGGGCATTAAAATCCCTTAAAATTGGCAAATAACAATATTTATAATTCTTTGAAGCAAGTAGTGTTAGTAGTATAACAAGCGTCTGTGTTCATTTAAATGCCGCTTTTGGAATGAAAAAATGAAAAATCCATCTCGTCGGAAACGTTTCGTATATTTGCAGACTGGTTGACGCTTTTATCCGAGATTAAACCGCTTTTCTTTAAACAGGCGCGATTCGTCTGAAAGGGTAAGAAATTTCAATGGTGCGAGCACCAGGTCCAACTAGCGGACAGCCAGACTTATCGACGAGAGGTACAACGGTGGCAGCGATATTCGTCAGGCAACCTCGGGACGCGGCAATGTCGGCAAACATCATTATCTTGGAAATCTGTCAACGGGTTGGAGCTGCAGCCGTAGACGAAACGTGGTGGTGTCCTACGAGATAGGATGGTGGCTCATTAAGGGATCCGTAAAGGCCGAAAGTCGCAGAAATGGACGAGTGGGTAATCCCAAAGGTAAAAGGGCAGCGCCACTTTCCCGACACTTTCCGCTCCTCTTCCTGCCACGCGAGTTCCCAAGAGCACGTATCTCTCTCTCTCTCTCTCTCTCTCTCTCTCTCTCTCTCTCTCTCTCTCTCTCTCTCCTTCAGTCTCTCGCTGCTTTTTTTTCCTTTTTTCTCTCTCCCTGGTTATCCGTCAGCACGCCTTTCCTCTGTTGTCTTTTCTCACGTTTTTTTTCTTTTCTTTGTACTTATCTCTTTTCTTTTTCCTGCTCTCTTTTATTTTACAGCCCATGACTCTATTTTATCAAGAATTTCTGGCACTGTGAGGATATCTCTTCTTTTAAAAATTACGTTCACTTTCTGTTTTCCTCGTTGCAACATACCTTAATACATACCTTTTTATAAAGATTTTTTTCTCTTTTCTTTTTTTTCTTCTCCACTCATTTCTTTTCTGATACTTTCTTCCTTTTAAGTTTTTCCTTGTCTTTCTTTTCTTACTTCGCTCTCTCATTGATTCTTTGTTCTACAATAAGTTTCATCATCTTACTTCGTTCTTTGTTCTACAATAAGTTATATCATCTTACAATAAGTTATATCATAATTCTTTGTTCTACAATAAGTTATATCATCTTACTTCGCTCTCTCATTGATTCTTTGTTCTACAATAAGTTTCTTCAATATTTCTCACTCCTTTCCAATATCCTTCACAACACTACACATCTACTTATTAATAGAAATTTTATGCAAATTGAGAAATTAGAAAATCTTTTCTACTTTTAAATATCCGAACAACGATGCCCGTTTCATTTACTTTCTCATCTTGTGCTGATTTTCATTCTTTAATTCCATCATCTCTTTGTTGATTTTTTCCTTCTTTTCTTTTTTCTCTTCTCCACTTGTCCTTCCACTCATTTCTTTTCCTCATACTTTCTTCCTTTTAAATTTTTCCTTGTCTTTCTTTTTTTTCTATATCATCTTACTTCGCTCTCTCATTGATTCTTTGTTCTACAATAAGTTTCTTCAATATTTCTCACTCCTTTCCAATATCCTTCACAACACTACACATCTACTTATTAATAGAAATTTTATGCAAATTGAGAAATTAGAAAATCTTTTCTACTTTTAAATATCCGAACAACGATGCCCGTTTCATTTACTTTCTCATCTTGTGCTGATTCTCATTCTTTAATTCCATCATCTCTTTGTTGATTTTTTCCTTTGTAATCTCTTTTCTTCTTTTCTTTCTTCTCTTCTCCACTTGTCCTTCCACTCGTTTCTTTTCCTCATACTTTCTTCCTTTTAAATTTTTCCTTGTCTTTCTTTTTTTTTATATCATCTTACTTCGCTCTCTCATTGATTCTTTGTTCTACAGTAAGTTTCTTCAACATTTCTCATTCTTTTCCAGTATCCTTCACAACACTCCACATCTACTTATTAATAGAAATTCTCTGCAAATTAAGAAATTAGAAAATCTTTTCTACTTTTAAATATCTGAACAACGATGCCCGTTTCATTTCCTTTCTCATCTTGTGCTGATTCTCATTCTTTGATTCCATCATCTTTGTTGATTTTTTCCTTTACAATCTCTTTTCTTCTTTTTACGTCTTCCCAGTATCTTCCACCATTCATACTTCACACCTTTCAACAGAATTCTCCCCACTATCATCTACATTTATTTTTTTCTTTTCCCATTCCTCCGCCTCTGCCGGATCAATTTTTTTCTCATCCACGATTTGTCCTTGAGTTGTTCGTGTCTCCAATTGCCCTCCACTTCTTCCATCCTTTCTCCCTCGCCCATCTTCCTTATTTACCCTCCGCCTTATCTTCTTTCTTTCTCTTCTCCTCCTCTCTTCTACACGTATTTACGTTCCCGCGTGCATCACTCACGTGCGAGTTACGTGGCCGATATGTCCACGGGCCGTGGCGCGGGGGCAGGAGGTGGGCGGGTTGTTGCAACTTAACAAGCTTAGCCCCCTTAATCCCCTTGTAAGCTAGCAATGTCTACAAGGGGTCAGCCGTACGCATGAAATGCATCCGTTTACAGGACGAGCTTTGTCTTCGTTCCAGGGTTAAGGTTTACGTCGACCGACCGTGGAGAGATCGAGACGACAAATTGGGGATGCCCGTGCGGGGCAGTGCTTCCCCCATGCGCCTTTGGGGGAGGCCTCTCTCTGCTCTACCAGGGTCAACGAAATGTCCAGATTCTTGGATCATTCCTTTCCATTTTGCATTTTTCACTTCGTTTCTCTGTCTGAAACGTGTGCACAACGACATGCAATTCGAGAACAACAGTCGGCAAGTTTAGAGGCGATTATTGCAGTTGGAAACAAAAGAAATTATCGCAGATAGCCGACGTTGCTTCGGAGAAATTTTTGAACTAAATCAAGAGTTGTTTTTAGAAGAGAATTAGAATGATCGATAAAGTGTTATTTCATCAAGCTATGGGTGAAGGTAAATTTTTATGAAGAATTAAACGTACACTAAGAACTTGGTTTATATGTGATCTTTTAAACACGTTGAACGAAATTTTTTTGTCTTCACAGCTTGCAGTTAAAATTCTTTTATCTTTCAGGTACTCTACTTTTACGTAAACTCTAAATGCTTTCCTGATATGTAATAATTTTTTTACTTTACTTCGCATGAAAGGACACGATTAGCTAACATAAGAAACGATAGCAATCTTAAGTCTAATCGTAAGTCTGAAAAAGAAGAAAAACAATTGTAAAAAAGACACTGTAATCATGAATATATAGACCCATAGTCCAATTTATTCTGATCGATTCATTAACGACGAAAACACTCAAGATAAGGCAGGTCTATCCCGTACATCATTCCCACGTTTCTCGCCCATTAACTACCAACAAAATTGATTCGAAGTTAATATACTTCAGCATGAAGCAGCATTTTCCTACCCTAGTCAACCCTCTTTCACCAAATTAATTAATTTCCATTGATTATGGACGACCATTTTATCAAACAGCTTGCATCCAATTCTAGAATGTAACAAAATATTTTGTCAAATATATTTCACATCAAGTTGTATGCATAAAAAGGATTGTATAATTAAAAAGACCATTTCTCAATGTGTCTACTGAAAGAAACAAGTCTCTGGATAAGATTCTTGAGATATTTTTCACAATTCAATGATTTTTAATACACAGCATTCAACGAGCAGTTCACGAGTAGATTCTTTTAAACATTTATCAAAGGGCAGAATTAATAAATTTCAACCATGGAACAAACCATTCAAATCAGTATGTATCAACAAGTATCTAAAAATTGTTGAAAACCTCAAATCAATTTCAAGGATTGGAAGGAAGAAACTGATGGAGCATGATGTATATGTTTCAAAATTCTCTTTAGAAGATTACAATTAATTATTCATTATTCAGAGAAGGAACCACCATGTATACGTTCCAAAATTCTGTTTAGAAGATTACAATTAATTGTTCATTATTCAGAGAAGAAATCACCAAGCAGAATGTTCTTTTGTCGATTTTGGTGGGCGAACAGTTTCCGAGTAAAAACCAACTACTGTTCTCTATATCGTTGAGGGGTTTGTCCCCTGAACGATGCACACGGCATACGAAGAAAAGTATACCTTTACGTATACTCTGGTCTGTTCTTCCCAGCCACCGAGTAGGGTGGAAAATAATCGTCGTTTGCTGCTGGTGGAATGGAATTTCATTAAGTTTCCTACCAGCTGTTTCGATTGATTTATGATCGATGCTCGACCGAATGTTGAAGTGAAGGAAATTGATTGGCTTGAACACCGAGGTTTTGCATTTATTAATCGCAGCATCGAAAAAAGCCGCGGCGCCTTAAGAGGTAATTCGACCGTCTGCGCGCGTTGCCACGTTTAATTAACGGAACGTTACGTAAGAACCAGAGGGAAATTCGTTACAACGAATCGAAATTAATTAAGTTGACGAGGTTTTGACGGAATCAAATTCGTGGATAAACGCTTTCTCAAACTGAGCTTAGCACAGCGCTGGCAATTTTGAGATCCAGTTATTAAACGATCATCCTCCATTTAATCATATATTTAATGAAATTCCATTATTAATTATAAATAAAATAAAAAATATTTTTAATAAATAAAATTATTTTAATTATGGCAGAACAGTGCTTTGAATTTGAGTTTCAAATATAAAATTTTTATTTTTATCAATTTATAAAATTTCAACATGAAATATAATTATATTTCAAGATTCATATTCAGATAATTTAATTTCATTTCATAATTTTATTATATTATTTATTATTATAATTATTATAATTTCATTGGCATTATATTTTATTATAGATTTAATAATAAATTAATTTCTAGATTTATCATTATTAAAAAAATCATACAAAGATCTTGCAACTTTTGCAAAAGAAGATGGTGTACTATTATTTTATTTGTAACGTGAGATAAGCGCGTGTTATTTTTATAAAGGAAAACGTTATATGCTCGGGGAACGTAATCCTTTTCCAATCAAATTATTTTACTTTCCTTGACGTATATAGAATAGACGCGTTCAGAAAAACAAACCGAAGCTAACTTAAAAGAATATAAGAATGAACCGTTGCTTTACCTTCAGTCAGACAAAATCTTCAATTTGTAATTTGAAGCTTGTGTAATAACTGTCCCCGTTGTTAGAGGCATTTGTTCAACAAGAAATATCGTTGAAGATTTTTTAGTTAGAAATGTGCTTAGGACAAGGCGAATTAAACTTACAGCGTGTTACTTTCCAAAGATGGAGAGAATAGAAATAGAGGGGAAATTACCTCGCTGCAGCCGCCCCATTGCCAATTATTCGGGTGGCGTGTTCTGACTCGGTTGTCGCAAGAGCAATCGGTGAGCTCGCCCCTGGAACAGGCTCTGGTGACGCTGTAAGCAACCCCTGCTGCCGATATTGCGTAAACGAACGCTGCTTCGCGACTATCTGTAAAGATGCACCGGAATTTCACCATTGTGGCACAAGAAGTTTTTTTCCATTCTCTGTTAGCCTACTTTAACTCTAAAGACTAAAAAACTAATGCTGTGGCATTAAGGAGGTTATCATTAAAAAACCAACAATTTCTTTTAATCTCTATTTGTAAAGTTGGTAAATTTAGTCTGAAAGTATATAATTGTAATTCATTTGTTCCTGTTTGTGTTTGTATTATAATGCTTGTATGCTGAATCTATGTGTACATTGTGCATTATGTCTATGTACTTATATATTCACTTCCCTGTAAAATCTTATTGCACATGTATAATATTATTTTATTGTATACACGTTTTTAATGTCTACAATATATGTATATGCTATGTGTATATATCGTGTGTTTGTGTTTATCTATGTCTACATTGTATGTTTGTCTATGTCTACATATAAGTATGTGTCTAAATTTATCTATCTCCATACACACATATGTCCATGTCATAACTGTGTCCGATGTTATATTTTGTCATGTCTGTATCTATGCTAGCATCTACTTATCAATTACTAATTATAACTATGCTTCTGTCTATATATCCATGCTATAAATTTATACGTAATTTAATTTTAAACTTCACTATAAACTATTTCCTACATAATTTAATTAAACACAAATTAAACATACAGATATGCTATGCTATATTTGCTATACGATATATATCATGACCCTGTGTTTATATTCACTATAGGTATTTTATTAAAAGCTTGCTGTCAAATCGAATCTTCATTCCGCCCTCAAAAACTTCCTGAAAACATCCATTTCCATGTCAAACTGAAACTCTTCACACCTTTGAGCTTCCACTTTGCCAGGATCACTCCTCCTCCTCTCTTCTTCCTCCTCCTTCTATCTATGCATGCGTCTTAAGCTTTATTCCCTTCAAGACAGGAGCTTTTACTTACTGACTAACATCACGCCGCCGAAAATGTTGTCTGGATTTTCCGAGCTGATGGAGCAGTTCCATCTGGCCGAGCGAAACTGATGTTGACACTCTTCGATAGCCAATCTCGCGCCCGCGCTGACTGCCTGTAAAGTAAAAATCACGAAAGTCACAAATACGAAAAAAAAAGAAACACGTTGATCAATTCTATAAATTGAAATGCAGAGAGAAATGTTAATTGCAAACATTACTTGGCAAAGTTTAATATTCAGCTAGAAAATGAGTCAGTCCGTATCAGCTTCCATCAATTGACTCGATTATACGTCTAATACAGCAAGTTTGTGGTTAAATTCGTTCAATGTTGATTCTAATATTGGAATATAATTGAATTGGTGTCAGTGGATGACGCATTGGCGTACATGTAACAGTATCTATCGACGCACAATTACTGTAATGGCAGATGATTGAAATTAATACAACCTCGATCACTGGGATTAATTAGAAATTGTTAGCGCTGTTGTTGGACGATATTAATGTAGGTTGTAAATCACTATTATATTACATATATATATATATTTACATATATAATATTATATATATGCACAATACTACTGGAAGAATTATGGACAATCCATTATGAATGGTATTCTTTTAAGGAGGTATTTTGGTAATCCGACTTTAAAAAGAATCGATTTTTCTTTCTCAGATTTTCTCAAAGTATAGGCTTTTGAGAATGGATTTGTTTGAATTCGTGAAATTAGTAAAGTTATGGACGTTTAAAGGAAACTGCTTGCAACGCAAGTATAAATATTTTTGTACAACGGGTAACAAAAGCTTCAAATGTGTTTCTCTCATAAAAATATTTTATTTTATAATATATTTTTATTACTATATTATATTTTTATTTTATATTTTATTATTATGTATATTATTATTTATTTTTGTATTATTGTTATTTTATAACATTTTATTTTTTTGTACTGCTCGATTGATTGTAAGCGTGAATATTTCACTTGTCAATAGTGATTCGCTAGAAATTTGGAGGAGATCTTCACCGGATGTACCTTTTGTCGCATGAACCACAGATTTCAAAATTTGATGATCTTTTCTATTTTCTTGTACCAAACGACGAGAGGCACAAGAAAAATCGATATTTTAACTTCAAAATGCTGCCATTTTTTTTTTTTTTAATTCTCGAAATTTCGCTGTTTCCGTGGTTCATGCGACAGCCATATTTATACCAGATAGAAGATGCCTTTTGGTTTTTTTTTCTTTTTTTCAAATAAATAACCAGGTGGACCGGAATCACGTCAGCCATTCGAACCCGTTTTTAAAAAAACATGCTTTACCCAAGGCTATATAATTTCCACAACTTTCGTTAATAAAAATTAATTTCGTTAAAAAAAAAAAAAAAATTGCAAATACTCTTTAAGCATGAGTAAATAAATCTGTGTGCGAAATGTATCGTTGGTTTCCTTCGAAAAAAATCTCGGAAAAAAAAGTCGACCACCAGAATGTTCCCTCAAATAAGGATAAACGTCGTGTCTGTCGATTACTCGCGATCGGAACAAAGATTACAGAGATGGGGAAAGGAAATCGCGGCCTGTAGAAATTTCGACACGTGACAAATCGGGAGAATCGTTCGATCCGTATCCGGTTAATCGTTTAATCGAGGATTAAACGTCGTGGCGTCGTTATGAATATTCATGGAGTGGGCCTTTTGTCGGTAAGGAGGACTCGGCGATGGGGAAAACGAAATGGTCGGCACCGGTTCAAAGAGATATATCGAGCCTGGAGAGTTTACCTAGACACCGGTTTCTATAGGAGTACTGTTCCCTGCCTCCGCAACCACGACAAGATTTGTACATTAGTCGAGGTAAACGCGATTTTTGGGCAGCGTTTTCACCGTCAAGCTGTACAAGCATTGTTCCGAATTTTATTAGCTCCCGATGTCGAGTCATGAATTTTATACTGTCGAACATACTTTAATATCTTTCTCATGGTAATGCACGATCGTGTAAAAGATCGTCTCTCCATGTCGCGTTTTTTTAATAAATTCTCTCATGCCTAGTGTTGGTTTTTTTGAACGACACAGGGAGAATGTGTCGACTTGGTTTGCCGGTTTCGAATTTTCAAACTCGTGTTAAAGTACTTTTTAATTGAACTCGAACGGGATTGTAACATTCTGTCATTGTAGAGGTCAACGTCTTAAAAAAAGGAAATTAAACTCTCGTCAACGTTTTTTCTGTACGTTTCGAACTAATTCACAATGACAGTGAGGAGTTTCACGGGGGATCCCAAGCCTCGATCCAAGATCCAGGAATCCCGCTACTTCATTTACCGACCGGGAAGAGCGGTCTCGAAAGGAGGTCGTACAGGGTTCAACTCTGAAGACCCTGACTGTCCCACAGCTCTCGAGTATTAAATATTGCAGACGTGGCAAACGAAAGCTACAACTCGACCGCCGCATTCCGGGAGTTCTTTAGAATTGCGCGAATTCACCAGTGCGCTTTCGCACTATTTTCCACCCTCGGTGGATCTCGAGTCGTGTTCTCAAATCTCTGTGCTATCTACGACGACATGAAACACACGTGTGTTCGCGTCGTCTTTTTAATTTCGGTTCTGATTTATCGAATCTGTGTAATATTATCGGTGTAACGATAACACATTTCGATTGGTACAGAAAGGAATTTGTTTAAAAATCTATTATCAAAATTAATTTCGAAATTTATAGTAAGTATATTCTATGTGATGATACCTTGGTATACTATACTATAATATGTACGTATATTATATTATGTCACATCGTTTATAATTGTTTATAATTGGTTTCCAAATGGTTAATTACTCTTCGATTTGGACATATCGAGAAAGAAAAATACAATATGCTGGAAGATATAAATGGTAGAATATTTCGAGAGTAGAATGAGTTTCACCATAGAAATTAAAAAAAGAAAGCGTCCGAGGGAAAAGTTGAGACGTTTAATTGCTTATGGACCTACCTGCATTTTACGTGTGTATGCTCATTTAATGACATGGTCGAAACGCGAAATCATGCTATTCCTTCCTTAACGACGCCGTGCGTACTCTTTCTCGAAATAAATCGACTGCTGATGACGCGGGAATGAAATGCTTCGTGCTTATATTCAAGTTTCTCGAAAAATTATACGCTCTGTTCACGTTAACGGTCAAATTCGATTCTTATTGTCATTAAACTCTGATGGCTCTCACGTCTCTCGGATAATAACAGATTTTCAAATCCTTGCACGCTAATTTTAATGATAAAATAATAATCTGTTTTCTAAACAGTAGAAGATAATTTTTTTTTTTACTCTTTTACTTTTGGTTCCTGCAAAAAGACTGCAATATTTATAAGGGCACCAAAGTGTATAAGAGCAGATTATACGATTATACAGCACAGGATAAATTAGTTTCAGTAAGATGTAGACAATAAGAATCAGTCATAGAGTTAGAAAATACGAAAGAAAGATGCAAAGAGATACACGTTGTAAACCGGAAGCCATCCTAAAGCCGCCTAGGCAAGGATTATAATAAATAAATAATAACAATAAATAAATAATCTTTTTCTAACAAAAATTTTCTACCCTTCATTTAGTTAGACAGAAAGAAAAATTCGATGGAACGAGAGAAATTGCGAGTTAACCCGTTGCGCGGACCATAACGAGTGACCGAACCGATATACGATAACTCGCCGCTTTCCTTTCCTTTTCGAACTCGTCGGCATGATATCGCTGGATAGAAATTATTAGGAAGTGATAAATTTATTGTTCGTTCTGCCTGCGTTGTATTTGAATGCACTGAAGGCCGAGGAAATGCCGCAATTTGGGACAAAAAAATTCTCGACGTGGCAATAGATTAATTAATCAATTAGTCTATTTATAGGCTAATTGCAAGATGAAAATAAACTACTTTCACAGTTGATCGAAACTAATGGTTCGATTAACCATTTACAGATCATCGCGCGGGTCGTTGTACAGGTAGAAACAAGCTGAAAAGAATTGAAAGCTGATTTCTCGCTGAAAAATCATCAGAGTGTAAAAAAGATCGCAGAGCGGACAATGTCGTGAACGTTAGGCCAACAGGCCAACTCTGCTCGCAGAGGGCCGGTGAATCGAATTAGCCGCGTGCTTCCCCGGCCATTAATCCGAACGGCGAAGAAGGAGGAGAGAGGTTGCCCCTGCCGCGAGGTAAATACCTGCAAGACTGGCGGCGAGCGGGAGCATATCGCCTGCTGCTTCGCGGTCAGGTGCACGCTCTTGCAGTTCTTTTCGGCACTTGCCGGCCCGATCACACCCGCGCCCACGATCTGCGCCTGGCCATCGCCACCGCTTCCAGGACTCGATCCGCTATTCAGCCGTGGCTCGATGCCCAAGTACCTGAAACAGTCCCGGAAGCAACCACCGTTATTATCCTTGTGTTTCATAGAGGTCAACCTTCTCGTAAAATCTTAACCAATTTACGACGACAGATTTATGGGCATGATACTTGCGCAAATCGATTAAACAGATGGGTATGTCGATTTCAACGAATGCCCCGACTACACTGACGGACAAGTAATAAAATTTAAAAGCAACGGTGTATCAGATGTTTCGAGGTTTCGAGACAGTTTTATTTATTTCGAGACTTCGGGAAATTTCCAGCCTGTGTAAAATTGCACTCTCGACGCACTCTCGTCGTACAGTGATTAAAAATTTAATTCGATCGAAACGCTCAGTTTAGAATGTGGAACAAATATTTTTGGAAATTATGTCGGGAGAGAAACTCGGTTAATATTATTCCCCCCTATCGTTTTCAAATCATTGAATTTCCTTTTTTTTTTTTCTCACTCCCGCGTCACGTGTTACTCGCCCACCCTATATTTTCACGAAGTATGGTGGACAGAGCTCCTCGGTAGCCTCGCTCCTACCGAGGCTACGCACAAAGGAACTCTTGCCCGTGACGAACCACCTATAATTAGAGCAGGTATTCGAGTGAAAATTATAGAGGGGAAAAGGACGAAGGGTAACACAGCTAAGGGTGTAACCAATGCCCGACGATATACAAGAGGATCCGCAAGAACCAACAACAAGAACCGGCAACAGGAATTGCCTGTACCGTAAGACGCACGATGAATCGAGAATGCTCCGAGGTTCCAATTACATTGAATCTTGTTATGAAACTATTCACTCTTTTCACTCGCTGTGAAATACGAAATATTTTGACACTAACTTATACAAATTATCGTAAATTTTCGTATTTCTTTTTATTATTTTTATTAAATACTTCTTGTGAAAATGTACGTAATATTTCGACACTTTATTTAATACTGTACTTTGTAAATTTACAGTGAAATATCATTGAAGTTTAATGATTTATACAAATTAGATACAAATTTATATTAACAATCGTGAATGTACAATGGGGACAAGAATTTTGATTGTAATTCAACTACTTGCACTGGCAACTGACTGCGGACCGTAACGAGCGACCGAACCGTGTACGATGATTCGTCGTCCTTATTTTCAATTCATCGGTATATCGATAGAAATTACTAAGAAGTGATAAATTTATTATTCGCTTTGCCTGTGTTATATTTCAATATACTGGAAACTGAGAAAATATTGCAAATATTCTCGACGTCCGTGACACGTCATTCCAACGCAAGAGGTTAAACTTGCGCTGGCAACTGATTGCGGACCATAACGAGCGACCGAACCGTGTACAATAATTTGTCGTCCTCATTTTGAATTCATCGGTATATCGATAAAAATTACTAAGAAGTAATAAATTTATTATCTGTTTTGCCCTTCCCTATACTTAAAACTGAGAAAATATCGTAATAAATGATTATAAAAATATTGAAATAAATAATTTCGATTTAAATATGGTACTTCCAAGTTCATATTTTACCACAAATGACCTACCACTTATAAACGGTGGTGTATGTAGGTCTGCAGACGGTTAAAGTACCATATGATCATGGGGACAATTTTCTACGGCGTTTATCAGCGAAAAGTTCACGATACTTGGGTGAAAGTGTACGAGGCGTGTGTGTATATATCTCGGAGAAAGCGTGTCGAATTTAATTCCTCGTAAAGCTCCATTAATTTACGGGTGGCCACTGGAGGACATCCAGTTCAATTATCGAATTTATTTAATGCCGGTCGAACGTAATGAGCACATACGTACGTGTAAAAACCACTTGTAAGATTCTTGTTGGCTTTTCACCTGTTATTAACCGAGAAAGGCCAATTTATCGTCTTAAGACGTCTATTCATCCGTACAGTGCTCGTTAGGATGTTTGCGAACATTCTAAGATTTTCTTGCTCTTGCGACAAATTGTGCGAAAAATCCTCGAACTTCATAATTTTGATGTTGCACATACTTATTGTTCTCTATTTACAAAATTTACTTCAATCTCAGAAAATTATATTTCACGAACATTTATGACAAACTATTGTCAAATGAGATTAGAAACGACGTCATAAACTAACCGAATTGATGCTACCTTCTAAAATATCTTTCAAGTTATTTTAACTATTTCAGCAATCGAAATGTTCGTAGTTTCTCAATTAACATTTACTGTTCTACATTCAGTATTTGCTGCATGCGGCTTGCAAAACTGCTGTTGACGGTATGTAGTTGGTGAGATACAAATAGCAGTATGGCTCCAGCATTAAGATCTCATACTTTAAGCCGGAGAGCAGTCATGTGCGCGATGAAATAATGTTGCAAAGTTTATGGTGAGATAAAGGTGGCTTTTCCTGTATAAGTTTACTATAAATCTACGTAGGTACGTAAATAAATACATACTAATAGTAATACATATGTATGTATATAAATCACCTTATACCCACGTAATATATCATAAAGGTAAATTTTTATATACACATTTATGTCTTACAATAACGTGTAATATAAATTGTACAAAATATGTTATTATGTTACTATATTTATTAATTTATTATATTATTATATTTATTATCCTATTATACGTTTATAATCCTATTATTATTATAAAAAGAAATACCAATTTACCGATATTATCTTTTGCTAAATTACTGTTCAAAAAGTATTAAATTTTATTTTAATACTTTAATACTTCATATACACCGATCCTAATCACAGCAGAGGGAAGGTTAGTTCCAAAAAGAAAAAAAAAAGAAAAAAAAAAAGGAAGAGTCTAGGGATTCGGAAACGTTGCTCCGCCTTCCGTTAATCAGCATAGTTGTCGTAAAAAAAGAAAAAAAGAAAAAAAAAAGAAGTAGTAATCCCGTCGTTTTCTATTATTTTTTAAAAGTTTCCTTTCTGGAGTATAGGTAGCGGTCGTTTAGGTGGTAAATCTTAATGAGAATCGAGGGTGTGGCCTTGGTCGGGCTCGAGAACGATGATTGCAACCCCGTGGGCAACGTTTAAAGGAACGGGGCCTCGTCGCGTCAACTTCTACACGCCGAGGGAGTGACGAATTCTCGCGCGGACGCACCTTCGAGCTTTCTCAATGCAAGTTTAAGAAGATTTTAATCTACCCACGAACTCGATTTGCTCCCGGGGCGCCTCTGGTTACTCGGAATTAAAGATGCGAACTAGAGGGAAGATAAGTCGGCGATGCTGATCCTTTGGAATAATTTATCTCTTATTTAAGTTGATATACCTTCTCCTTCACTCACGTTTACTACTCGTATTTACTATACGCATATGCTTTGAAAATGAAATTTCTAGCTATTTCATTGTAAACGAAACACGTTTTCTTGTTCGTCTTCTTGACGGAACTCGTTAAATTCTAATAATATTGCATATATCGGTCGATATCTTGACTTTGTTTCTCAAAAACTTCAGCGTGACAGAGTAATATTTGTTGTAAAATTCAAGGCATCACTTCCAAACTTCGATTTCGTCGAACTTCTTTTTACTTTTCATTGGGATTAATTCCCTATAAAAGTCTGAGGTTCTCAACGCGAAAGAAAAACCGCTATGTACCGTTGCCACGGAATCCTCTTTCTAATCACCACCTATCTATTCTCCGTCAGCAATTTCAATCTCCCGCGCGGAAATCACATGAATCATCTAACAAGGCTGGCCGGTGCAACGGCGTAGGAAACGTTTATTATTTGTTTGCGGTTCCAAGCTCTCCTCCTCGACTCTCTCGACTAGCCCAGCTATTTCGGGTTTGTTTGGCCACGGTTCGTGCGCTTCTCTCTTCCGAGATATCGCTTCGTTTCACTGACCTTCCCCTCCCCTCCCCCCGCCCCTCCCACCACGATATCACACTAACATCTGACATATTTAAAGAAATAACAATCGTGCGCGACAACTGCAAATAATTTACCCACGATGCGAAATGAAAGTGTCAATTGGGCACTGAAAAGTTGATAACGATCGACCGATTGTTGACAAGTGACGATTATTTCGGATCTTTTAAGTTCTACAGATATTTTCATTATTATTAAAAATTTGACGTGATCTCGAGATATTACTACGTGAACTATACTTAATTATTTCTGATCCCTGCCTTCGGATGACTTCCGGTTCTTTGTACATAGTTACAACGTTGTCATTAGATTTTGTTGCACTTTCCTCTTTCGCCCAAAACTAATATAATCTAATATAAACTAGTATAATAAGAAATATAATGTGCCTATATAGATAGATTAGATAATTTTATTTTTCGGCTTCACAGCCATGAAAGCGGACTTGGTTCATATTTCTCTTTTTTCTCTTCACTTTTCACTCTTCATATCCGTTATATACTCCTACCCTATACTTTTGTGCTATACTTGACAATTTAACACTACTCTACGCTATACTTTTATGCTATACTCAACAATTTAACCTCGATTGTATTACCCAACTCCTCTTTCGCTTATTCTAGATTGCCCTTTTATTTTCTACCTTATTGCTCTAATTGTTTACCCTACGAATGTACATATATAATACATTTTACATTAAAATAATATCAAAATTTAGAATAATTACATTTATTATTTCTGTATTATTTTTCTTAAATAAATTAATCTTAGAATCCAAGTAGAATAATTTAACGACAAGTCGTACATAAAGCACAAATAAGTTTAAATAAGAATTAATCATTAATCGAATACTAACTAACGTTTCGTTTCAATGAACAGAGTTTTTATTGTATATCTTGTACATAGCCATGGAAGATTACGAAACTGAAAATCATGGAAGCGGAGGGTCTTATATGGTATATTGGCGTCATCGACGGAAAGATCATCCCAGTCATTTGGAGTATTGATGTTTATGAAAAGGCTAAGCCGATGGTTAAACAGAAGATTTTGTTGGCCGGCTACCCTTAAATACGTGTTAGTCGCGCGATATTGCAATCAATAGGCGGTGTATGGTATGGTTCGGCTGGTCGGTTCTTATGACGAAAAGGTAT